CGCAGCTTGGCAGCGCCTGCACCCCCCTCCGTCCTGGGGGCGCGGGGGAGACAGCGGCGCTTTCAAGCAGCTCCTCTCTGCTAGGGGCTGCTTTTCATCGCCCACGATGAGGATCCGTCTGGCCAGAAGATGGACCTGGGTCCGCAAAAGCTGCGTGTTTCTCGGTTTCTTGATGATCGCTTACTTTGTGGTCGAGCTGTCGGTTTCTTCATTCGGTGCCTCCCTCGCCGGGGAGAGCATCACCAAAGGGAAATGGGAGAGGCGCTTTTCTGACAGAGCAGAAGAAGCTGTGGATTTGGCTCGTCCAGTTTATGACAAACCCCCGCCTGACTCTTATGCCCCAGGAGAATGGGGTAAGCCCTCTCGCCTGCAGCTGAGTCCTGAGGAGAAGAAACAGGAAGAGGAGCTGATTGAGAAGTATGCAATTAATATTTATTTGAGTGATAAAATCTCTCTCCACCGGCACATTGAAGATAATCGAATGAGTGGCTGTAAAACTAAATCTTATGATTACAGAAGACTGCCCACAACATCTGTTGTAATTGCTTTCTACAATGAAGCTTGGTCAACCTTGCTGCGGACCATACATAGTGTTCTTGAAACGTCACCTTCAGTGCTTCTAAAAGAAATTATACTGGTGGATGACTTGAGTGATAAATTGTATTTGAAAGCTGAACTGGAAAAATACATAAGCAGCCTGAAAAGAGTTCGTTTGATAAGAACCAACAAAAGAGAAGGATTGGTTCGTGCCCGCTTAATTGGTGCTACTTTTGCTACTGGTGAGGTCCTCACATTTCTGGACTGTCACTGTGAATGTGTCTCTGGTTGGCTGGAACCACTCCTCGAGAGGATTGCTGAGAATGAGACTGTTATTGTCTGTCCTGTCATTGACACCATTGACTGGAAAACTTTTGAATACTACATGCAAACAGCAGAGCCCATGATTGGGGGGTTTGACTGGCGGCTGACATTCCAGTGGCATTCGGTGCCTAAACACGAACGTCTCCGGCGCAAGGCTGAAACCGATCCAATCAGATCCCCAACCATGGCTGGTGGCTTGTTTGCTGTCAGCAAGAAGTATTTTGAGTACTTGGGTACCTACGATACAGGAATGGATGTCTGGGGAGGGGAGAACTTAGAATTATCATTTAGGGTTTGGCAATGTGGAGGCATGTTGGAAATTCATCCATGCTCCCATGTAGGCCATGTGTTTCCAAAGCGTGCACCCTATGCTAGACCCAATTTCCTTCAGAATACGGCACGTGCTGCTGAGGTGTGGATGGATGAGTTCAAAGAGCACTTTTACAACAGAAATCCTTCAGCAAGAAAAGAAAACTATGGAGATATTTCTGAAAGAAAGACACTGAGAGAACGTTTGAAATGCAAGAGTTTTGACTGGTATTTAAAAAATGTATTTGCTGAGTTGCATGTACCAGAAGATCGCCCTGGCTGGCACGGTGCTATTCGCAGTGCAGGAATAACTTCAGAATGCCTCGACTATGTCTTACCAGAACATAATCCAACTGGGGCTCACCTTTCTCTCTTTGGATGTCATGGACAAGGAGGCAATCAATTTTTTGAATATACATCAAATAAGGAGATTAGGTTTAACTCTGTAACTGAGCTGTGTGCTGAAGTCCCAGAGCATGAAGATTACATAGGTATGAGGAGCTGCCCAAAAGATGGGTCTCCTATCCCAGAAATTATTATATGGTATTTCAAAGATGATGGGACAATTTATCATCCTCATTCAGGAAAGTGCCTTACTGCTTATCATACAACTGAGGGGCGTGCTGATGTGGAAATGAGAACTTGTAATGATGGAGATAAAAATCAGATTTGGAACTTTGAGAAATAATAACTGCTGGTAGTACGAATCAAATGGACTGTGATCTCCAAGGTTTTTACAGAGATATAGCAACATTTGATTTTTATAGCTTGGAAAGTCTTCAGATGTGTCTGTAGTGGTGTAGAAACAATATCTGCTGTGGTGAACTGTAAGGAAAGCAAAAGCAACTACTGGGGTTTAGTTTCTAAAATATTGAATGCAGGTTTGACACCTTTTATTTTTGTAAAATTTTGATCCATTATTTTCTTACCTTGGCCTGTCATATGATAAAAAAAAGGCTTTTGAGTAGACTGAGAAAGGATTTTGGTGTTGTGGTTTTGTTTTGGTTTTTTTGGTTTGGTTTTTTTTACATTATACACATTAAACCTGTGAGATAATAATACATGAAAGTAAATTCTTGCTTTGAGCAGAATGATTGCAGTTCTTGCAGTGGAATAACTGACCTATGTTGCAGATACATTGTAACATATGTATCTAAGTAATGCTACAGTAGCATGTGATTGAATCTAGGTTTATGTTTGTGTTAAGTGGAATCTTGAGCCTTGGACTATTCTGCAGTTTTCTGGGAATTCATGTGCTCTTAAGGGTTTCATGCTGACAACTTGCTATATTTCATTGAAGAAAAGTTAGGGTTTTTTTTAGTAGATGGAGTTTGACAATGTTTTGCAGTCTTGTGCCTATTCTGGAAAACTTACCTCATGAAGGTGAATCAGAAGCTTTCATGTGTTTAGAAGAGGGTGGTAGCAGTGGAACCAAGGTTGTATGGATGGTACCACAAATGGGAAGAGACAAGGATTGCTACAAGTAAGAATTCTGTTTAAAAGTAATGGAAAAGGAAAAAAAGCACAGAATTACATTAGCTACTGCCATTTCTTAGCTGTATATTTAATATTTATGTTGCCTCTGTGTAAGTTTTCCCATGTTAAGCCTGGCATCCTAGGGACACAGCTTATGTGACTATACCATGTATCTTTTTTATTTATTTTTTCTCATGGTCTGTCAGTGGGGAAAAGGAGGCGGACACATAAGAAAACTTGGGCTGTTTTTGTTTGTGTCATGTATTTTGGCAACAGCTGGCATTCATCGGCCCTAGGCAGAGTGCACCACATGCTGCCACTTTCTAGTCACAGTAGTAGCATGGGAGACCTTGGATAAGGTTGGGAAGCTGAAGTTCTTGAAGCAAAGGGAATTGTAAAGGCAAAGGGCAGCTTGGAGGAAGCCAAGATTTGTTGATTAGGTGGTTCACAGAACTGATTTTTTAGAATGTTTTCTGTATTCTGTTATATTGATTTTTTAAGAACATTGATTCCTGAATTGTGTCACTAATCTGTTTTGAGTGTGATTATAGACAGTAGATGTGATATATTGTGTACTGGAAAAAAAACACCTTCTGTTAGTATGTGTGTTTTTAGATTTTTATAATTTATGTTGAACACTTATCTTAATGTTTCGGGCATTCCAGCTTTTTTGATTACTTTCACTGAATTGATAAATGTTCTTCAGTAACCACAGTGTAGGTCTGGTAGGTAGGAACTTGAACTAGTGAGAAGTAACAATCATGGATACTCAAGGAATGGAGTAGATGTGCATTTGCTGCAGGTATTAGTAAGTAAGAGGGTTAAAAGGGAGCAAGTGAGACCTGAAAAAAAGTGAAGATTTGCCAAAAATAAAGCAAGGGTAAACTAAGACTTATTATTGAGTTTTAGTGGGTTTAGAGGTTTGTGTGGAAGCGGGGTAAGATACAAGGGGAACAGAAGAAAACAATTTGGAGCTGGGGATGTAGCACTGAATCATGCTAAAAATACTTGCCACTGTGTGGCATGGGTTGTTTTAAGTCTGTAACTTATTTTTCAGAGGTTACTTGCAATTTTATCATTTATTTTTCCCCCCTCAAGTTGTTTGTTCTTTTTTTGTCTTTTTTTTTTTTTTTCTTTTTGTAAAAGGGAACTTCTTTACTGCATAAGGGAGACATTCCTGAAAAATTCCATTCTGCATTGCAGCAAGGAATTATTTCATGGACCTACAAGTTATGAACCATTTATCAAATTTTAAAAGGCAACCAGTCATTATGTACTAGGGCAATAAATTATACAAAGTATGTGCGTTTGTGAAAAGCTTGCTGTGTACTGTTACATTCAATAGAAATTACAGGATAAAGGCCTGGGTTCTCCTACATAGCAGAGCATAAGTTGTATGTGCAATGCGTGTTTCCTCAGATCAAAGTAATTAAATGATGTGAATACAGACTATGCAACTTTTATACAATTAACTTTTTTAGGACATGGCAAAAAACTGCATTTCATATAAAGAACTGCCTTCCTGTTAAAACTGACATTAAAAGTGTTCCTTATAAATTTAAGCAATAAGTCTAAATGGATCTGCCTATTATAGTTTGAAAGGCTATTCTTTCTGTATGTATCGGAAAATACATAACTCCTTCTCCCTGCCACCTCTCATTCTATTTTTGTGGTTATTTAAAAAGTAAAAGGAAAAAACAAGAAAGCAAGGAAAAAACAAAGCAAACAAAACAACAACAAACCTGGCCCTAGATATAAATTAAGTGTCATTTATTCCCAATTGGAATAAAAATGTTGAGGGTGGGAGAGGGACTACAGAAGGAGAGAGAAAGAAGAAAAAAAAACCTTGCCTTGTTAAGTTCTGATAGTTTTGAACTGAATTGCAGCAATTCCACAGAAATACTCCAATCCAGGTTTGTTGGGTTTTTTTCAGATTGTACATATTTCTGGAAAATCTGAAACTCTGAAAGATTATCTATGCTGTTTGAAAACTTGGGGAATACTTGTATGTATTTTGAACTACTGATTTAAGTGACTTAAAAAATTGAATGTAAACTTAACACTGAGTAAATGTGGGAGGGTTTTGGGGTTTCTTTTGAGAAAATAAAATCCAGAATGATAATTAAATGTTTGCTAGTGTGCTAACTCTCTTCAGTTCTTTTCCAATTGTCTAAGTACATACAGTATACAATAAAATTCCAGATTTCTTCTGTTGACTGAGGTTCAATTACCAATTGTTTTCCTCCAAGTGGAAAATCTTGTGAATCACTGTTAAATGCGTTTGTATAGTGACATTGCACCTTATCACAGTGAGATTTGCAAGGTTCCTGTAAAGTGTATGAGTTTTGTGGTGGTGGTTGAATACTCACACATCACATGCACAGCCCTGTACTCCGCCTGACCTGTAACTTTTGCACTGTGTTAATTGTATTTGAGATGCTTCAGTATTTGGGGGGGGTAAGAAAGGATGAAAAAGGGGTACATCTAGCTGTTAAGGTCTGTCTGAGTCTTTTCTGATCTTTTGCACATCTTGTAGTCCCTACGGTGGTATTCTGTAAAATGGGACTGTGACAGTAACTTGGTCCTGCAGCAATTTGTGTCTTCTTATATACATGTGTTTATATGAAAATGCATACTGTCAATATTCACAACTTGTAAATTGAGCTTGGTTTCATTGCAAAAAAAAAATTCCATTACATATCTGAAGCCCAGATATCTGTTCAGAGAATTGCAGCAAAGTGTTGTGTAAACCTGGCCTTAGCATAAGGCCAAGTCTTTATTGTCTGGTGTTCAATTCTGCTCTGACTCATCACCAGAAAAGCAAATTACCTAGAGATAAGTTAGCTATCCTTGGGTGTGTACAGAAAGGACTGATGTTTAAAAAAAACCACAAGTCACTGAGGTTATAAACTGGACTAAGTTGCATATTGGAGTCAGCTAAATGTGAATTTTCATCTTTCTTCTTTCTAGTTATAGTTTGCAGTTGGTCAAATGTTTTAATTCCTACTGCAAGGAAACATTTTGTCTTTCACCTCTAAACATGGTTCTGGTTATATCATGTTTTCTCTAAGAGACATGTGCAACAGATTTATTTGTGGTATGAGCCATCCTAAAAAAATTCTTCTAGATCTTCTGGATTTCTTTTGTTTCAGTTCCAGTATTTTACATTAGCCCTGGTATCTGTTGTGGACCATTTATTGGCGGTCAGGTAACTGAAAATCAGACTGTAGGGTGTGACATACTTAGCAAGTGCTGACAGAATGCATCAGCTGGGTCTGATCTGCATTGCCTAGGACCCCATGTGTAATCTGTCCTGGAAAGTTCTTGCTCCTCTCCTTTTGAACACTTAAATGCATGGACAAGATGAACTTGAGAGGAGAAAAATGCATAAAGGATTAAGAACCAATCCTTAAGATACTGTGCTTGAGTAAATTGGTGAACCATTGTTATAAAGCAGGCAAAATACCTTAAAATGGAATAAAAAGAGAAATAGAGAAGTTTATTTGATAATAGTAATAGTACAATTTTTTATGCATAAAACTTTTTTAATATTAGCATTGATAATGGAAATTCTTGCTGGCAACATTGTTACCCTATACATTCTTGCATTTAGTGCCTGTGGTTAGCTGAGATACAGTATGTGCTGTTGCAGCACAATGCTCAGGCATTGGCCATAGGCACCAACATTTATTTCAGCCTGCTTGAATAGGGAATAGCTTGGCTTGGCCAGGCTGAGGCTCATTAATGGTAAAGGGACCTGGTTTCCTTGGTAGATAGGGGCCAAAATTCAATATAGATTCAGAGTTTTGGCTTAGAATTTCTTTGTCTGGATTTACTCCTCTCCCTTGCTGCTCAGATACAAAGAAACACTAGCCTGTGTGCCTTAGGAAAATAGTTCAGCAATGGTTCTGTCAGTTACTCATCCTTTCCTGTGCAGGTCCTGAACTTCTTCCCTCCGTCACCCCTGGGATGGTGTCAGATGGGCTGGAACTGCAGCATCAGAGATAATAACAGACTGAATGTCATGGTAATGAGCAGGTGGCTTCAAGAGAGGAAACCTACCTAAAGATGGGGAGAGGATGCTGTGTGAGCATAGGCAACAGGGAGTCCAGAGGGACAACAAGGAATATACTTGTGGATCTCCCAGGGACAGAAGAACTTCAATTCACTGCTTGTGTCTCATTAACCTTGACATAACCCATCAGTGAGAGAGCAAGCTATGATAAACTGGCCATTGAATTCATTGTACTGTCATATTTTAAAATATTTCCTTCAGTTTTTAGAACTGAAAACAAAGAGAGCTGGTATTGCATGGCCTTCATGCAGTTCATAATGTTCTATAGGTACTTGGTAGTTTGTGCATTATTTGTTTTAGAAAAAGTCTGCTGTAAAATAGAGTTCTGAGAAGTTGGAGGGAGGAAAATATTCTGTACTTCTGTGTCAAATTTCGGCCTATTGATATGGGCATAGGGATAGTCTGGTCACACATCTTTTACCAGAAGCTAGTCATGTAGAGCTAAAAATAATATCTCTATTCTGAATCCCTAAAGAGAGTTCAATATGCAATACTTCGTTTGAGGCTTGCCTTGACACATGTAATAATAAACAAGCTTTGTTTGTGCTATGTTGATGCCTGAAAGACATTGGGAAGAGGAGAGCTATCCTTTTCATGTCCTTCTAAAATTCTAGGAGGTCCTTGTTCTTCCTGTCCCTCCCTTTCTGTACTAGGGATAGAAATTTTATAACTGAAAGGGTGGGAATGTGAATTCCTTGCTTTTATTTATGTCCTGCATGCTAGCACTTGGCAGAGATAAAGGCAATAAAAGTGTAGGAATATCAATCTTGTCAGTTTAATTCAACTGCTAATTGCTTTTGTTGCTTATAGTTTCCTGAAAGTAATCAAGCTCTGCTAAAATCTATGTCTGCCTTCTCAAATGCAGGTAGTATGGTCTACCTGTAAAGTGACTGCAAAACAAAACAAAAAAAAGGTCTTTCTATTGTCAGACGAACAGCTTCACAGTGTGTTTTGAACTAGACAAGTATTAGTATTAAAAAATTGGTACTTAAAATAGAATGGAATTATAAAATGTGGATGTTTACTTTAGAGTGGACTTCTGCAGTGTTAGAAATTATACCTTGAGTTTAAGTTGGCTTGTCTTTTCAGAGTTAAAACACTTGATACTTCTAACAAATTCCATCTCAGAGATCAAAGTGAGATCACTGAAAATTTTGTCTCTTGTTCTTAGTATTTGGTAACACCAGATCTGGATTCATACATAATGATTCATGAATGATTTTCAGCTTGGATTTTTTTGTTCTATATCTTTAAAGTACTTGTAAGCCAGTTTGCTTAATAAGCTGTAGAGCTACCTGTTAAGAATTTTCCTTTACTCCTCCCAGTCTTCTGATGTTCTTCCAAAAGGTGTTGGCATTGCTGGCTGCCAGGCCTCTGCTGAGGCCAAAACCGAGTTACTGCTCCCATCCCCCTAATACCCAGTAAGCTCACTGGTGAATCGAAATTCATAGTCATTAGCTCTGATTTTCTAATAGTGGTGAGTGGGCTCTTAGTATCTTTTATTTCTTGCCAGCTACCTCCTCTTTGGATAGGTTTCTTATGGTGTGGAAGCTGAAGACACCACGCAGAGCTTACAGATTTGTAGGCCACACAGAAGCGGTTACCAGTGTACAATTCTCACCATATGGGCAGCTAGTTGCTTCAGCTTCTCAAGATCGTACTGTCAGACTATGGATTCCTTGCATGTGAGTATAACTGGGCCATGCTGGCTATGTCTGTCATTAATGTGCAGTGAGAATATTGGGGTCTTTACCCAAGACAAGTTTCTCTTCCCTTCCCACATCTCTCAGCTTTGACAGAAACAGATCAGGGAGCACAAGCAACACAGTTCTTTACTGTGCTACTTTGTTCTTTACTGAATTTTCTGTAGTTTTGAAAGAAAATGTAGTAATTCAGAGATCAGAATTTCATGTGTGTAGTATGATAGTTGGTAGTATTTCTCTGGCTTAAAGGATATATTTTTTAATAAGAAATGGATAGCTGCACTTCATTTTGGAGAGACAAGTGACTGAAGAAACTGAAAATAGCATTTTTTGAAAAAAAATTAATTAATTGACTTGCCTTTTTAAACTGTTATCAAATAGTGATTATGAGCTATTAAGAATGACCTTAGAAAAGATGGTATAACCCTAAGTGTTTTATAGATTACTGCATCAAAAATATTATATTCTCTTTCAAATACAGTATGGAGGCTAATGCTGCTGGTTAATTGCAGTGTTCTCTAAAATAGGTCATATTAAATACAGTTACTTTCAAGTCTGTTATTCTAATAATTAATATTCAAATAAGGCAAAAAATATTTGCAACACCAAGATTTAGCCTGTATACACTGCTTTTTCATTTGACTAAGTTTCCATATATGTTCATTTTTTAGTTTTATGGGATTTTAAACTCCTTCAGCTCAATATGACTGTGTTTTCTGTCTTGGTTGTTTGGTTTTGCTTTTTTTTCTTTTCCCCTAGTCATGGAGAATCATCGGTACTGAAAGGTCATACAGCATCTGTTCGTAGCGTGAGCTTCTCACATGATGGCCACTTTCTAGTTTCAGCATCCAATGATAAATCAATGAAAATATGGAGTGTTCGGCATCAGCGTCTTTTTTTTTCCCTATTCCAACACACTCATTGGGTTCGCTGTGCCAAGTAAGTGTTGTTTTTATTCTCTTTGTATGGAAGCAGAACTCCAAGCAAAGTGTTTTTATTTCTCAGGGTAGAAGTAAGAGAAGAAAAATCTGTGAGTGATAAGTTATGTTCTACCACTAATAATGAACCTTTAAGTAATCAGTCTTAAGCACACACACCCATTTTATATATAGCTTCCAGTTGAAGTCTGAAATCTTGCTCTGTTTTAATATGTGTACATACTAAATATGTTGCTGGGTGTTCATTTTTCTACTTGAAAGGACAAATAGGGTCTTCTGTATTATTTTCAGCCCATATCCTGTGTTTCTTCAGTCTTGTATGTTTTTGTTCTATATTAACTTATATTGCAGCATATACGTGTTTCTAGATTTATTATGCATGGTAGAGGTTATCTCAACTATTCTTGAAACAGTAGTGGCAGAAAAGAGTGATCATGACTCAAAATGAGCTAAGCTTATGTAATTGGAAAAGGTAAAAGAAATGGCCTTTGTACTGCAAGTTAAGATTTGCACTCTATTTAAAGGCACGGCAGCTTTTCAAAGACAAAAAAAGATTGTTCTTTGTGGAGGGTTTTTTGTTTCCTCCCTATTAATGGAAAAATCTGCAGATAAAAGAGGTCTGATTTAAACCTCTTGAGAAAGTAATTTAATACTGGTGAAGTGCAAAGCACTATGAAGTTCTGAAGTATCTGATGGTTCAGAAAAAAAAAAAGCTCTAGGAAATTGTATGTGGATGCTCTTGAGCAGTGTTCTAATATCCTAATGAATTTTTTCAATATGAGAAATAATTAATGGTGAAATTAGAGATATATCAAATTTCCTGTTTAGAAACCTAGACTAGTAGACTAGGAATAATCGTGAATGTTTTGCTGACAGTTTGTCAGTCTAGAGAGAACACACAGGAGAATATATATGTAGGTTAAAATTGAATGCAAGGTTTCTTCTGTGTCCTCTTTGTCTTTTTGCCTATAGTTTTCTATAGTAATCTCTTTGGCATATGAAGTGACAACCTTAGGCTACTGTTATCCTCCTACCCCATCCTGGCTCTTTCTTGCTCATGGCACTGCTTAATTGTGAAATGGAGGCAGGAGGGGAAGAAGCTTTTCTTTGCAGTTTTATTACTCCATAAGAAATATGAGAAATTAAAGTGTTATTTGAATAATGCACATTTTAATTCCTAACAGGCTGTTTTGGTTCTGGAGTTCTGCTATTTATGTCTCTAATGCTAATTTAGGTGTTATCAGTTGTTCAGTAATGTATACACTTGCATATTCCAGATTTTCACCTGATGGAAGACTAATAGCATCTTGCAGTGAGGATAAATCCGTTAAGATATGGGATACCAGAAATAAAACTTGTATTGAAAGTTTCCTAGATTCTGCAGGGTAAGTTACTAAAAAAAAAAAAAAAAAAAAAAAGCGCTTTCATGGTTTTCCTCTGTTTTGATAATGCAATTTGATACTGGACACTTCAACAGGAAAAGCTGAAAATTCTCTACTTATTTATGAAAAAAGTATTCTGCTAGCTTCAGTTACCTGCCCTATATAGGTTTAGAAAATACTTGCTTTTACTTATCTGCAGTTTTCTTAAATTTCTTGGAACCAGAGTTTTCATTAACAAATGCAGTTGAATATTAATTTTGTATATGTGCTTTGCGAATTTCACGCTGTCATCTCTACTTTTTTCCAAGCTAAAAGGTTGTTAGATGATGTTAGATGTTATCTAGATGTTCTGTTCTTAGACAAAATTATTTTACTTGCTGCTTACAAACTCTTTGCAGCATTTTCTTCTAGGAACTTGGTATTCTAACACATTCTCTGAAGATTTGAGTAAGGACAATTATGCTGTCTTTTTAAAAAAAGCCAGATTATACAGTCTTATTTATCATGCACATCTGGTTTTCCTATGCTTATTTCAGTTACTTGAAATGCTTTATTTGAGTTTCCATACATATGGATTCCAAATAAATTTGTGGTAATATATAGATACGTATATATATACACACACACATTTATCTACATAAATATACACACACCCCCAAATATTTCTATGCAAACATATGATCCATCTGTTTTCAATAATTATATTTAGATTTGCAAATTTTGTGGATTTCAACCCAAGTGGTACGTGTGTAGCTTCTGCAGGTTCCAATCATACAGTGAAACTGTGGGATATTCGAATGAACAAACTACTGCAGCACTACAAAGGTAAAAAGCAGCCATCATGGTTTGTTTTATATATATATAGAATTTATTTTATTTTTTTTTTTACAGTGGAACTCTTTGCAATTAATTGTGATCTATATAGATTACATTATTTCATTCCTTACTGGGAGAAGTGGACAAATAGGTCATAGAGTCATAGAATACCAGGTTGGAAGGGGTCTCAGGGATCAAGTGGTCCAACCTTTCTTGGCAAAAGCATGGTCTAGATAAGATGGCCTAGTACCCTGTCCAGCTGAATCTTACAAGTGTCTAATGTTGGAGAATACACCACTTCCTGAGGGGATTATTCCAATAATTGTTTGGATTGTTCTCCGTTTGATAAACTTTTCTCTTGTGTCCAATTGGAATCTCCCCAGGGGTAACTTGTAATTAATTACTCATCTTTTCCATGTGACCCCTTGTAAAACTGAGTGTCCATCTTCTTTGTAGCCACCCTTTGAAGTACTGGTATTGGCACTTTATAAGGAATCTTTTTTAGTCTAATAGCCTTAAAAATCCAGTCTGTAAACTGATTATTCTTTTGCAATACTTCTAGTTTTTAGAACAGAGCTAAGCAAATGCTCTGGAGAGTCGGCTATGCTGTAGCACTATGGGGTTTTTAGCTTAAATTAAGTATGTTGTTCTTTGGGAAATAGAAAAGAGGGAAGAAATGAAGTGTACATTTCCTGTTAGTAGATATCTACAGTCTTTGAATATTGTCTTCTGTAAATTAGTTCACAGAGCAGGGGTTAATTGTGTATCATTCCATCCTTCTGGTAACTATCTCATCACTGCGTCTACTGATGGTACCCTTAAGATTTTGGACCTCTTAGAAGGAAGACTTATTTACACTCTTCATGGACACAAGGTATACACAATAATCCTATTTAAATGGAGATCCTAATAGATTAGTCAGTATCGTTTCAAAGGGAAAGTAACATTTATGCCGTTGTGCCTTGTGTCTTGAAACTTGCAGATAAACTTCAGTGGAGAGCAAAATGTTGTATTAACACACCTTGTCACAAATGCATTGATTTTACCTACAACCATGCAGTTAATCTGTTGATATTTTGTGTGCTTAATGTTAAGTAATAGACCATGTTCTGAATTAATAATTCCCTCTCTTTGTTGTCAAAATCAATTATTTGGCACATTAGTCTGTCTATTGAAAAACAGTGCTTTCTAAGGAGGCAGAAGTTTATGGAAGATAATTTTTTGAAGAATGGCAGACTCTTGATGCAAAACAAACTCCACTTGCAATAATAAATCACTCAAACTCATTGTCTTGAGTAACTTTGTATATATTTGATATTTTTTTATTGCAGAGTTAAGGCACACAATCCAAGGAAAATGATGCTATTTTCCTACTATTGATTGTAGTAATTATAGTGAAGTATCTTACAAAGACTGCAAACCAACTTGATGGAAGAGTTACTATTGCACAAAATTTTACTATAGTTGTTTCTTATTAAAATAAAAAAATCATTGATATAGTAATAGCATAATTTTACTGTATGCTAATTTCTTTTTCTTTTAGGGGCCTGTGCTTTCCGTGGCTTTTTCAAAAGGTGGTGAAAAATTTGCCTCAGGTGGAGCAGATGCTCAGGTTTGTTGGGATTGTCTCTTTAAATTCCATTTTTAAAATAATTTTTACAGACAATGGGAGTTAAACACAGTGTGCCACAGTAAGGTGATAATTACAGTATGCTGACATCCATTCTGTCTAGTAGTTTGTTATAGACTTGCTTTAGCCTAGAGCTAAATTTGAGGAGAAAAATGATAAATACATAATTTATAAACTTGATCTTAACTACTTTCAATTGGATGTTATGAGAAGACCACAATATTATCCACTTCTGTTTTACTTATTAAAATAAAGAAATGATTTTTTTAAATTGAAATATTTGAATTGTTGCAATTCAGTGTGAACAAGGTAATTGTGTTGCAACTAGCATTAATGCCTAGATGCTCCATTCAGTTTTCATTTATTTTAAAGTCACTACTCTGTGATCATAAGAATTAAGAACTACTACTAGCACACTGGGAATTGGGAAAAAAAAAATCTTGTGTTTGCTTTGCTAATTTATATTGATGAAACAGCAAAGTACTGGATTTCATACAGGCAAGAGATGCTTAAGCACTTGAAGTTAAATTTAACAGCAAATCATACAATTAGTCTTCACGAACCATGACAAATCTCAGTTACAAAAATACTGCCAAGCTTCGGAACATCTGTCTATTACGTCTTTTAAAAAAAGAAAGAACATTTGTAGTCCAAGGCTTAGAATTTCACAGTCTGGAATGTTACTTAATATTATTTATCTTTCGTATTGTTTCCTGTTATAAAAAGCTAAAAGCTCAATTTTGACACAAAGCCATGCTGTAGAAATTAGGCTCTTTTGAATTTACCATAGCTCATGTTTATGTTCTGTTTCATGGAGCTTGAAATATGTTTCAGCTAGTAACTGAGACGGTTTTGGAAAATAAGAAATATTTTTCAATTTCAAACTTCAGTGTCAAGTGGAAAAACACAGTCTGTTTCTGGTTTTTACTTGATGCATCAGAAAGCACAGTTTCTAGAATGACTTGAAGGCACTCAGAGAAAGCAACTAAAATTGCTTTCTATCACAAGGTGTTAGTAAGAAGCAGTGCCTAGACATGCAGTTATTGGAAAAGTAAAAGTGTTAGCAAACTTCCAATATTAATTTTATAAGCTAAAAATAGCCACCAAGAATGAGGGAAAGATTCCTTGAATAACCAGTCTAATATTTTGTTTTTCCTACTAAAGGTATTTTTATGTGAATTTTCCAGTTCCAAACTGAAACTTTGATTCCCAGGTCGTCTTGAATTGTTGACTATAATTTTCATCAGTGCTTTCTTTTGAGTTTTATGACAATTGGTATATTACACTTAACTTAGGAGGAAGTGAAGTGCCCATTTCAAACTAGATGACATGACAGAAGGTTAATCTGAGAATCTATGATGATAGAAAGGACCTACAGTATTAAGGCTAGCTCAAGCTCCCAAATAAATGCCACCATAACGTAGGAATGCCTGTCTTATTGCAAGTTTCTTTTGAATTTGGCATCCCTAGAATGACATGCAGTCATGTCATTGCCTTTCTCCTGCTCTGAGTTCATGCTGTAGAGCTGGTGACATATGGGATCACGGAGTGAGTAGGTATTGTAGTGCAAAATCTATAAAATTACTCATGTTTATCAGCAGTTTGATATAGTGTTTTCATGCTAAAAGCATGAGAGACAAGATCCAGTTTCATCAGGAAGTGCTTTTTTATGTCAATGCTGAGTTCAAAATAAGGAGTCACAGTAGGTCTATTAGTGAATCCTGGTTTTATTTACCTTACATAAAGGCCTGCTTTTATCTGTTGAAGTTTTTCCCTTCTACTTTTGAACGTTCTGGTGGCAGAGAGCTAATTAGTTCGCTGCAGCTTTCACTTTTGTGATGTAGGTTTTAAAAGTTGTAGTGCTAACCTTTATGTGGTAATGCCTATGTTTATATAGTTGCCTATAGTAAACATAAGAACTTGATTCCTCAGTATCCATTTTTTGTTGGTGTATACAGATGTACTCAACAAACATCTGTTTTTTGCTGACCTGTCCACAGCACCCTTTCATGTCTTCCAGAACAATTGTAGGACCTCTTCTCAGCTCAGTGTGACAGAATTAAGTTGGTTTACTGTAAATGTAGGATGTATTAATTTGAAATGTTCTACTGGCAGATCAGCAATGTCAAGCTGATGAGCAGAGGCTAGCCATAAAAGTATTATCTTTTATCCTTTTTACATTATCCAAAAGATACTGTCTGTCCACAGCATGGGTTGGTGGCAGTTGATTCATTGTAAGTTTACCACAGATTACTTGCTCTATACACACAGTATTTCAAGACTCTTACCTTTTCAAACAACAGATAAAATCTGTTTTTGCTCCATCAAAGAAGGAAAACCGGTATCTCTGCTTCTAGTTTCAAGTTTCTTTCTGGTTGATGCAGAGCCAGCTGAAAGCACATTAAATATTTGAAACAAGCACCGCGTACTTTGTTTCCTCCTCTTTGCTTCTTTCCTCAATGAAAAAAACCTGAACATGTAGAGTTCCAAAGTTCATGTTCCTCTTTCTTTTAAGTGAAAGGGCAAAGTTATAACTATTCCTTTGGAAGGTAGTAGCCTGTGCTGTTAATTCAGTTCTTACTATATAGAAGAGACAGTTCATTGTGTCTAGTGACTGCCTTGACATAAAGGCAATTATTTCCTAATGGAATTGGTATTTTTCTGGGGTTGCACATAGTTGCTTTTTCACTTTTTGCATTGCAGTTGGGATACTGAAGGCATATATGTATGTTTCCATGCTGGTTTTACTCATTTTTTTTATCTGGGATGTTGGAAGCTGCAGTGGCATGGCCTTCTACTTCAGAGCCAAAGGGAACATCTGGATCTTGATCAGCTCAAATGCTCACCACTGATTAAAGGTCTTACTTCTGTTGCCTCCTGCCTATACCCTTGTTTACACTCAGTGCTGAGCCAGTTGAAATTGTTAAACTGGCAGGAAACTAACCTGAAAAATGGAGGAAAGTCATATAAAAATGTTAACTTCATGCTGGATTGGGTGATGGAAGAAGTGGAATGACACAGTTGAGAAGAAGAGGGAGGGAAAGCAGGACCACCCTCTTACAGCACAGTGAATCAACTAACACCTGTCATTCTCTTATCCCCTGCAAGACTTCATAGGGGACAAGAATTTAATATCCCTTTGATTTAGGAGAAAAACAACTTGGTACAGTCCAGTGGGACAGAAGTGTTTTTTTGCTTTATGATTAGGATTGAGACAGTTTTTAGATATATATACACTCTTTAAAAATAGATTGAAGCACATCTGTTAGCCTGGAAGTACAAAATGTTCTGGGGAAGAGCCTGTGTTGTAGAAGGAACCAGACTGGTAACAGCAAGCTCATTCTGATGTTGTGTTCTATTAGTATTAACAGACTTCACTGAATAGTTTTGTAGTGGTCACTGAATAGCTCTAAGTAGTTACTAATATGATGGCTTCTTACAGGTATTGCTATGGAAAACCAACTTTGATTCATTTGATTATAAAGAAGTTATTAAACACCATATTAGAAGAACGCATATTGATGATCCTCCTCATCTTCTTGATATTTACCCGAGATCACCTCATCTCCATGATGAAAAACTTCAGTCAACCGAGGTGAGTTCAATAAGTACTCTAATACAGGAAACCAAAAGCTTTTGTACTACCTGTCTGCCATTTTTAGTTAGATGTGCTCTGTGTGTACCAGAGAACATTCTGTTGTTATGTGTAGTAATTTGGAAGCAACCATAATTTACAAATCCCCATTAATATTATTAGGCTAGCTGGAGCTTTCAGGTTTATCCTGGTGAATTTCTTTCATTCTTTTTGTGTAAGTCTGTTTTACACCTGATTTTAAAAAAGCATAGGTGATAGTCTGGTTTCTGAAGTAACACAGAAATTTTTGCAGAAGATATGTGAATCTTCAGTGAGCTTTAGACTGCTACTAAAAATATATGGTTATAAGGAGGGTAATGTGTCATTAATACAGAAAGTCAAATACTTGGTAGTCATGAATTGTCCCTCTCTCCAAGATCCGTAGGTATTGTGAGAAGATCTTGATATGTATCTAGAAAGTTCAGAAAGCCTTTCTAGACTAGTAGTGTGGTTTATGTCACTGTGTAGTCTGATTTCCTGATACTTCAATTTTTCAGCTACTTTACAGTCAAAGATTCTACCAGCAACTCTCACAAATATTGGGAATTAGGAACCAAAGTAAAATGTCAAATATTCTGTATCAGCATTTGGAAAATCCTGAGTTTGTCAGGTGGTCTGAAAGCTATGCTAAATAGGTAAACAGCACTATGCCTTAAAGATGATCATTGTTTATGATAAAACCCCAGGGATATATTTGTGACTGTCCTTGGTAGACCTGGCGAGCTTCTGCATGTCAATGACCTATACTTCTGTCTCTTCTTTGATGTCCTCCAAGTGCCCCTAGTGTCCAAGAACTGTTTCTAATATAAATCTAGAAATGTTTTTGTTGCTGTTATATACTAATAGATTACCCCCCAAGTTCACCATTATCTGGTTTTGTTCATATAAAATGCAGATACTGCTGCCATGGCATTTGTTTCCTGTTCAAACTTTTAAAACATGGACGTTTTAAGGATATCAAGGTGGTTTTTTTTCCCTCTCTGTGTATGCAATAGGAATATATGCAATATAAGTAGTATAAAGATTGAAAATATTTTTATGTGGGAGAGGGACCCTGAGAGAATCTATCACTAAGTATTCTCATGTGTCTCTTTCTGTTGTCAAGTTGGACATGAAGCTTTTTGATGCGTAGCATTTTGGTCAGAACAAGAGCAGGACAACAGCACATATGACAAGCTTTATAAACAAATTTCTCTGCAAGACATTAATTGCAAGGTCAATGAATAAAGTGAAGTTTACTGGTAGCAGCCTTCAATGTAGGTGGTCAGTGCTGGTGCAAACTCAATCATGGCATTTGCCGGTGGATTTAAACCACTCTTGCCATATCAACAGTTTGTTTCAGACCCATTCAAATTGCACCTGGTTATAACACGTGCTAAACAAACACAGCAGCTTTTAGCTGCAAGGCTCAACTGATTTCTTTTCAGGTCAACTTTTCCAGACCTTGACTGCTCAAATGCCTGGCAAAGATATAAATATTCTCTAAATCAATTTTTGAGGGGTATTTTTTGGTCTCTCTCCCAGGTCATTGAAAAACTCTACAAAAGAATTAATGATTTAAGACTAAAGTAAAACTAAGACTAGGAAGCACCCATTACCACTACTGAAAGGCCCATAAAGGAAATTTGATAGTTGAATGTTAAGAAATTATTTATGAGTTAGCTTTGACAGATTTCACTTAACTCGATGTCTGCATTTATTCATGGCTGTAACATCTGTAGCAGCTTACAGGCTTCTGACTTAGCTGCTCTGTAGCAGTAAAAGGGCTCTATGGCTTTGCCATTTGTTGTAGCAAAGTTTTGGTCTCTTGTGGTATATTTTTCTGGCCCAATTTTAAGAATAAAGTTGCTGTGTTTAGTTTTCTGCTGGCATCACATTATCTGTAGAATATCATGCTCTCAAGTAAACATGGACTATAGTGTATTCTTTGAGACAGAACAATGTCTGATAGTTTCAATAAAACTGATAATACTGTAATGTACTATATTCTTATGTTTTTAAACTATTATCATAATTATTAAGATCTCTTTTGCAGCTTATTTTCTGAATTAATGTAGTAATAGAGTAGCTTAGACAGTGTTAAAGTCAGGTTAACAGGTTTTGTTGCTCCATATGTATTTTCTTTTCTTTATTGTTCCTCCTGTCTCTCTCAATAAAAATTATGGGTTTTTTTGTTGTGGTGAGGAAGAATGGACCTTACCATCTGTACAGAAACATAATTTATCCAGACAAAGCTAGTATCAGGTTGCTACCAGCAGTAACATGCTTTATTGGCACTATGATTGAAAATTTTCAGTGTTCCGTCTTCTTGAATATTTCCACATGTAACTGATAAAAAGCAGCATTTCTAGCCTCACTGTGCTATGCTGTACTCTGGAGAAGGAAAAATAAAGTATTTTTTTTGGTCCCTATTCAGTTAGAACAAACTTTTTTTAAAAAAAACAAACATCTCCATCTCTTTTTAAGCAACAGGCAATAGAGAGAATTTTAGCACTGGTCAGTTCCACTGCAACACCACTCTCATCTTTCTGTGGCTCATCATGTTTCTAATATACAAGGGAAAGGAGGAATTGAATCATACACATCAGAGGGAGCTGTTGGAGGTCATCCAGTCTTGTTACCCATGATACATGAAGACAGCCATGGCTGTGTCTAATAGGAATAGTCTGAAGAGGAATGGAAATGCCCCATTCTCTCTGGGTGATCTATTCCTCTACAGTGCAGCAATTCTAAGGATACAGTTTTTCCTAGTATCTCATCTGCACTGCAGATAAAATGCAGAACTGTTTGCTTTCATTTATTTTCTTTTTCATGAGGAACATGACTGATCTTAACTAAACTGAAGTAACAGTATTTTAAAAACCTTGGTAACATACTCAAGAGTCATAGGCAGTCAGAGGAGGCAGTTCAAATATGGATTATTTAGACCTTTCAAGGTTTCCTGAAAGCCGCCACAGTGTCATCTAGACACTTGGGGTGTTTTATAATACATTACCCTGAGTTATGCTGAGCTGGTTAAGTTTAGTTATCTCTATAGCAGGAACGATGATAGATTTGCCTTAGGATAAAACTCAAAGTGTTAGAACACAAAGTTCAATACATGTACAGGTCGAACTCAAGAGGGAGTTATGCCCATGTTTTTTAAATTCATGATGTCTCATGCCACTCCAGCTTTCTTACTCCTTTTGGATAGTTGTTGTTCTCTATCCCTCCTTGCCTTAATGTGGCAAGGTCCCTGATAGTCTAGGACTCGATTCTGGAAAAATAGTACATGCATAATGGAGCTGGCTTTGCTCAGAATTTATTTAGCTGGGTTCAGAGAGACAGTTGTATTGTTTTCATACATCACCATTTAGAAATGTTTTTTTTTAAAAAAAACAACTTGCACAAGGGCATTAAGAATAGCAGGTATCACCTGATATTTTGCCTTTAGGGTAGTGTACTTTTCACCTTTTCTCAGAACTTCCTTTTTTACTCTTCAAAGCTATAGTTGAGTTTTCTCTCTATCCCTGCCTACTTGTTGAAGCATAATTAACTTTTATAATAGATTCCTTACTTGCATCTCCTCCCCTTCAGACCATCAGTAGCCTCAATTTTAACAGTGTTGAATTTCATATTTTTGATATCTAAACCTTTACAGCTGTTCCTAAACTGCGCTTATCAATGTGATTCTTGAATATTCAATAAGTAGAGATTTAAAGCTTATAGTCCTTACAATTATTCAGGCAATTTGGGAATGTAAGTAAAAGACATGTTCGCTGAAGCCACTTACTTTTTCCATTGACCATAGAGGTAATCTTGGGTGACCAGTTCAAGTACAGGTATCCAGCCATGTATCTGAATTTAGCTGAAGATAATTAATTTTTGGTCACTATCTCCCTTTGAAATAAGAAACTTCTAGAAATATTTGAAAATATTATATTTCATTAGTAATGCAGTTTTAGTGTAATATCCTGAAAGACATGTATTCCACTTGGTAAGAGTTTTATTCCTCAATTTCCTCTGTATGTCATTAATCTTTCATGTACTAAAGACTTCTTTAAAATGGATGGAAGATAGAAATAAGTTTCCTTTAAAAACATAGCATTGATGTTTAAACATACTAAGATGTGTATGTATAGGTTAGATCTAGAGAATGAAAAGCTATTATTGACTTAGATTTATCTTACATGAAGGAAATCCAAATATCCGCTAGGTGGCAGTAGAAATAAGAATATACAGCTTGCTTAGCTTGAGGCGGCCTGCCCAGCGCAAAGAACAGTGTTTAATCACATTGGAAAGACTATTTCAGAGCTAGCTACATCACTTTCCTGTAAAATGCTTTGTGAGAGTAATTTATAATTTCCTCTTCTAGTTTTTTTGTTGTTGTTGTTTTTAATATAACGCCAATGTCTCATGAAATATATTATAAAAATTAAGTGAAGGGTGTTTTTTTTTTTTTCTTATCTTTGAGATTGGATATACTTTATTAAGAAAAAACAGAGGGATATCTGGAGGGCATAATTGTTTACTTAAAGGATGTGGCTGAGAATCACATACTTGTTTAGGTTTCCTTCTTTTGTTCCTCCCCTAGTTCTCTGTCCTAAGCAGTGATCCTAGTTCCTGCCTTCATGTTTTCGTGCTTTTTTTTTTCTTTTGACACTTTGCTATTTCTGAAGTTATCAGGTCTGGCTCTGTAGCAGAATAGGTTTTCCTGATTCTCTGGGTTGCTCGTTTTCAATTGATGTAACTACAATCCAAATTAAAAGACAGAATATCTAAAAAAAAATCCCTTATGGATGAAGACTGGCTTGTTGAAACTGAATCCAAGAAAGAGCTAGGCACACTGCTAGTCAGAAAGGTGAAGTAGCTTAAAAAAAGAATAAAAATCTCCCCTTTAAGAAGGCTTGTCATCTCTGACTTGTAAGTCCTGCTTGCTAGTAAACTTAGTTCATCATCTTCCTCCCTCCTGCTCCTCCATCCACGTTTACTGAGGAAGATCTATTAGTTTTAACGTACATTTCTGCATGTAAGTTATGGAAATCTAGACAAAAAGAAGGAAAACACCTCAGGCAGTAGAAGATGCTATTGCCTGCCTTTTCTGGCTATGACTTCCAATTTTAAGATCTCGTTCTAGCTACTTAACAAGTTAATCTCTGATCTGAAAGTCTCTGTGCCAATGTATAGACTGTGGCAGCAGGGATTTTTACATGTGGAAGTAGCACTGAAGTTGTTACTGAGTGAGCAGCTCTGGCTGCATTGGTGTTTTGACAGTCTTCAAGTGAAATGGTAGGCTCTTTCTCCTTGAATAGGCAACATAAAATTACCCTTGTATCTAATAAACTTTCAGCAACTGAAGTATAATCCTGTTACTAGGCAAGTGTGAGTTTTGGGGGTTTTCTTTAATTTTTCCACTTTCAAACAAAATAGTTGGAATTAATGCTGTCTCTGATAAGGCCACTGTCGAGTAACTGATAAAAAGTTGAAAAGGGGAAAGTTCTTTTGTCTTTACTACTCCAGACCTTTTGGTGATTTGAAAGGCATCTAGTCTTTCTGAGAATTTTGTCAGTTCATAAAATAATAATAAGAATAGTACTTCTATATGCTTCATCAGGTTGAGGAGACAAAAGTATTAGACTGTGATATACACCTGGATAATAAAGTGATAGGGAAAATATGGACACAGATTTTTATAGACAGGATATTTCTGATCATTAAGTGAAACCATAAGACAAATGAAAACAGCAGCTTTTTCAAACCTTATGTTGTCTTATAGTTTGTTAGTGCTTCACTTTCAGGAAAGGACATGAGCAAAATATTGCTAAAGTTATAGATTAACTCCTTTAACCAACAATGAGTAGTCCAGCTGTGATACTAAGACATCAAAATTGCAGATGTTGTGATGACATACCTGATCAATCAGCCTCTGACATTATCACAGTATGAACAAGTTTTTCCTGTGGTTTTAGGAACAGTACCATTTGTATTTGGCCAGTTATCACAGATTTGAGTGTTACCTCCTACCTGTTTTCCGCAACAGTGTTTTTTGAGTTATTTTGATAACCAGAGTTGGCACATAAGAACCAGGCATGTCAACAGTCTGTCTTTTTGGTTGCCATAGATGACTCAAAGAGCTTGAGTGTCAGCTGAGAACTGATCAGTCTGGGCTGTTAAGTGTGTGCTCACTTTCAGCTTTGGTGTTAATGAGGTATACACATCAGTAAGGCAACACAGGCTTAGGAACTTGGTACCCATGTTTATGTGGAACCTCCTAAGCTCCAGTTTGTTGCCTCTTGTCCTATCATTGGGTATCACTGAGAAGAGCCTGTCTCTGTCCTCCTGACACTTGCCCTTAACATATATATAAACATTAATGAGGTTATCCTTCAGTCTCCTCCAAGCTAGAGACCCCGCTCTCTCAGCCTTTCCTCATAAAGGAGACGTTCCACTCCTTAATAATCTCTGTGGCTCTAAAGGGCTCTTAAGGAGCCCTTATGGTTGTTCACATGAAAAAAACTTTCAAAGGCACCTGCAGGGGAGATTAACAGTTGGGAAGTGGTTTGAATACTTCCTGATGTTCGATATTTCAGCAGCATCACAGGCCACTTTGTTAATTGCATGACTACAGCTTTGGGCAAGTTTTAAGTTAATTGTCTTAATAAATCTATTTCAAACTAGTATTTGTAACTTAATTTTTATTGATCTGTCATACAACTGAACTCCTTAATACTTACAACTCTTGTGGAAGGAATCCCCTGAGTTGGTTTTGGGTGGGTGTTTATGAAGTATCAATTATATTTCGGTAATAAAAATGCATATCTGGATTCTCTTTCTGTATTATATGATTGCATTTTGCATGTTTGGAGGGTAACATCCTACCTTCATTTTTAATAATTTTGAAACCTGTTTCTAGTTCTTAGTGAACAGTGGTGCCCTAAGGTGGCAAGTGGTCCTTTTTATTGCAGTCTTATTTCCCTTTCTCTACTGGTGCTGAAATAATAATATAATTAATTTTCAACAGGTCAACCCTACCTTTGATGTGACTAATACACAAGCATTTGACCCACCTGTCATAGAGATTATGACATCTTTCAGTGCTCTGGTAAGTTGCTTCCTGAGGTAGAAGTTGGGGGTGGTGGAATTGGGAAAACGGGCATAGCTTAAACTATACCTTTAACTAGCATGTTATTGGAGATGTACTCTTTCAGTCTGTATGCATGAAATATATATATTTTTTTTAATTGTCAACTGCTCAGCTCAATATCCTAGTTTCTCAACTTAAGCTTTCTTTCACAGTTCCCAAGGCCAACCAGAAGATGGAGTAATAGCAAAGCTTTCATGTTATACTAGTAATTTTACCCATATGCTAAGCAGAAATTCTAATTATAAGCTCATGCTAACTATATCTAAATATTTCTGTTAAGATGTGTGGCTTATTCTCAAGCACTTTTTGTAACTCTGTCTTAATCTGCAAATAATGGGAAACCCAAAGAATAGATACATCATTGATAAAATCCAAGTCATGTTTTAATTTTTCTCCTTTTATGGCATCTAGTAGTTATCTTGGAGAAAAACAAAAACAAAACACCAAAACAAACAAACAACAACCAAAAAATCCCAACACATTTTAAGAGAGAATCATAGGATTAGATCCTTCTAGTGTTAGCTTTTCATATGACATTGGTATAGCATGTGGGAAGAAAGGAAGGCAATGTTTTAATGGTAGTTTCGTAGGAGGAGAAATATGCTCTCCTGGTATGAAATAAAAAAGACACACTGTTCTAGAATTAGGTTAAAATGAGAATTTCTCTTTTAGCTCTCAGTCTGTTCCTGTGAATGCATGGATTGTATCTTCAGCAATTTTAGTTACCATAACAGGAATTTGCATGATTGAAGGGTTAATACAGATGAATAGGCAGCAGGTGTGGTTTCTATGGTTTTACTTTGTCATGAATGCTTTATGAAAAGGTATGTTGTGAAGGTACTTTACAGAGATCATTTATTGAAGATCATGATATAGAGGTTGATGTCTAAGAGAGAATTTTTCTTCAAAACAGTCATATATTAACTTCTATTGGAGAAATGATCATTAAAGTTTAGCAGTTGTATTTTCACAATGATTTTTTTTTTTTAAGATAGCTTCTGTCAAAAGTAATTTGTAGACTTCCAAAAATCTCTGTAGTAGGCTTGACAGATACTGTATTATTGTGGGATGTAATTTATTGGCTACCTATTACCTTAAAATACTCTGTTCATTACTTCTTGATCTTAATACTGATGACAGAATTCAAATATATGGTTACACTGTAATTCTTTGTTACATACATATAGATATACCAATCATTTAGTCTCCTCCATTAATTGATTGATATGAGAGTAATTTATAAAGCTGTATGCTCAGAACTCATCATAGGAGTAAGATGACCCACTAGAGTCAGCATCCTTCTGGCTACTGGCTTTATGGTAGTCTTTATTACAAAAATGTTGCTTCAGAATTCATGCATTTTGACTCTGTTAGTAATAATTACTTTTCCTCCCCCTCATTATTTTTAATCTCTTGCTCACTATTGATTCTTACATTTCCGGATCTCAGTATTCACCATGTGCATATTTTTTCCATCTGTCAACATTTGTGAGTCTTTGTTACTCAAGTTACAGTCTTAAGGACAATTTCTCTGTCCAACACACCACTATTAACCACATATCCAGAAATCATTTGAATGTTTTCTCTGTCGCTCCCATAGTAAGTAACATTTCCCTGCACTTTGCCAATATATCTGGTCCTCCCTATTTTCTAATGTTGACTCATCTTTTAGCATCATCATTCTGTCCAGTGTGTCTCTGCTGCATTACCAGTTTCTGGGTTTTTTTGTACAATTATTACACGTTTCTAATCAGGCCACCCATCCAGTTTCTTTGTGTCTTGTTTCGAAAAGGTTCTCGTTCTCAGTAACTTAGACCTTTTTATCTGAAGCTGGTGCAATTTCCCCAATGTATAGGGGCCATGTGTGTATTTATTGCCTTTTAATCCTCCTTTAACTTGATGTTAGAAACCTCTAGTCTAATTCACCTTCCTCCCTCATCTCTCTCCCTGATTGATTCTGACCTTTCTCCCTGATTCTGACCCCTCTGGGTTGCTCTTTTTCTACTGGTTATCAAAGACAATATAACTGTATGCTATTTTCTTCTACCTTTTCTTGCAAACCTCTCAAGACCCATCAAAGGTTGCTTATGTCCTTTCGGTCCTACTTCTACTGGAAGAACGCTGTTTGAATGACTAAAAATTGTTGATCAGATTGCCAGTTCAATTTACAAATGTCTTGTATATACCTACTTACTCTTTTTGAAGTGTTTTGCTCTACCTTTAGCAATTCTTCTGCCCTTCTGGGTATGTGTAGAGAGAAAAATGTGCTGCACTGGAGTATATTTAAGGGTTCTCGCTTCATGTGTGTAACACAGCAGGATCCTAAAGGTTATTTGCAAAGCACCTTAGCAAGTCC